TAGTACAAAACATTTAATTGAACTTCGCTCAGCTGAGATGTGTCCGTGTCTATCGCGGTGATCAGAGGCGCCTACTCAGAAATTATGTCGGTGTCATCGTCGCCATCAGCATAGCAGCGTCGCCATCACCATCAGCTCTCCTCTAATGCCCCCATCTTCCTACCGCCGAGATAACTTTCTCGTCCGCTTCCAGTCACGTCACGACCGTCAAACGTTGCGGCGGCTTATTTTTGCGGTGAGTGGGAGAGGAAGAGAAACTCAATATTTCAACTATTTCACGTGTACAAGTTGATAAACTGAAACGAAAGAGATGCCTGTTCGGCATTCTCTGGATATAGATGGTTTGTTATAAGAGTGATTTAGCAAGAATAAAAGGTTGATTTTATGTTCCGTTTAGGTTATCCGTTAAACGCATCTTGCTCCAAATTGGTGCTCCAAAAGCGCTGATTACAGATCGAGGGTCGTCGTTCCGTGCAAAACTGTCGCCAAAAAATTATCCGACTGAGCCGAACGAGCCACCGTCGAACCACTGCGTACCATCCGCACACCAACGAGCTAATGGAGTGGTTAAGCAAGACTATCGCCGTCATTATCTCCATGTACGTCGACGTGGAGCAGAAAACGTGGTATGACATTTTACTGCATGTGACGTTCGCCTACATTACTGCGGTTGAAGAGAATAGTGGGGTCACACTATTCAAGTTCTTTCATGGTCGCAAAGTAATGGCGATGCTGGACGCAATGCTGCTCCTTGAACTTGAAGACCACAAGCGTGGCGAGTCTCAAATCGTCACTCAACGGGCAGAGGAAGTCCAACAGCTCGTCAGGCTCCGGTTCCAAGACCAACATCGTGTCGATACTCAGGAGTACAACCACCGTTGGCGGGAGGTCCACCTCCATCCCGAAGAGCGGGGGTAATGTCGATACCGATTCAATAACGAAGCCACCACGAGGAGCTCCAAAAGCGCTACTTTGATACCCACAAGGTACTTCGTCTCCTGGGAGAGCTCCATTACGAGATAGCCCTTGGCAAAACACAATCATCCTCACGAAGCCGAACGCGATCCGACGTCGTTCATGTCGTTATTCTCAACCCATTACACGCTCGACAGGACTGTGGAATTTTGCGTTCCCAATGACTTCTCATTTCACTTCTTTTTTTTTAAATTTACATTCTTTTGTTTTTTGTCGCCTCAGGGTGATGTCATATTAAAGTGGGGAGAAATGCCTCGTGCATGACAAATACGAAACGCTTCTCCGTGCATCTAGAAGTTTGGAGTTATTCTTATATCGAGTTATTCTTACATCGAGAATGACCTAGCCTAGTCAGTCTTCCTCTAACTTGGCCCCGCAGATTCTAGGTCGAACATTGAAGCTGACGAGCACAGGAGATAAGGAGCCGAGAGCGGCATTGGCGACATATTCACTGATTCACTCTCGCCATTGCCAGCTGTCACGCCGAGGCACCGTCGCTTGCTGCTGCCGCCGTCAACGCTCCCGGGGGCTTTCTTCACGTGTGTTCTTCCTTTCTTTTATTAGTGGCACAAATTTGCCATTGAAACCTTAATTTTCAGCTTAATACGCACCATCTTTACGACTTCATTTGTGTGAATATATGCGGGTGGCGGGGCTGATTGAGAGGCGCAGTCCAGCGGGATGCGTGTGGCAACTTGTAACGCCAACTCGTCCCTATTTTCAAGGTAAGAAACTGCCTGCATCCTTGTTTGTTTGTGTTCCACCTCTCTGAACAGCTGCTTTTCGAGATGCCTCTTGTTAAATACAAGAGCGGGGGTTTTGCTCCCAATGAGAAGCTTGGTAGATCTTGTTTGTTACAAAATGTTCGCCTAATCGTTAGTTCAAAGGATTTTCACGACTAAACATGCCATCTTTCTGAATCGTTACGCATTGCCAACTACGGTTGTGTATGCTTTATGTTGCCTTGACTTGTGTGTAACAAAATTTTGTCACACTCCGGCGTGACACTTTCCGCGTAATATCCTGCCCCAATACACACTCCGTGCTAAACACATCATCGGGGTGATGAGGCTGTGGTGAATTTAGTCGCAACTTGCAACGGAAGGAGATTTTATCTTCAAAGGAAACCTTGGAACGTCATTTATTTTTATTTATTTATTTATTTATACATACTGCAGCCCCACTGGGGCTATGGCAGGAGTGGGAGGTAAACACAGACGGTCCGGACATCACTGTGGACCACTGTCAACGGCACACAGAAATTCATCTGGTTGTAGTGATCGGATGTTTCCTGGTAATAAATTCCAGCGTTCAATGGTGTGAGGAAAAAAACTGTATTTAAACATATCAGTACGAGGATGAAAAGGTAAAATGTTTAATTCATGGTGGCTCCTAGTTGCAGTTGGCTCGAGAAACTTTATGTAGTTATGTAACGAGTCAAAACGTGATGAGTTAACCATGAAATACAGAGACTTTAGGCGCTCGATACCACGACGCTCAGAAAGAAGTCTTAGACCTAACACGGAAAGATTAGAAGAAGGAGAAAAGTTTCTGTCATACCGACGACAAATAAAACGTACGGATTTCTTTTGTACTGATTCGACCTTTTTTATATCGGACTCCTTGTAGGGAAACCAAATAATAGAACCATATTCGAGGATTGGGCGAATCAAAGTTTTATAAGTTAAAAGCTTAGTATCTTGTGGTGCCACACGTAAGGTACGCCGCAGGTATCCAAGTCTTTTAAGAGATTTGTTACATGTCGTATCAATGTGCTTAGACCAAGATAAATCAGGCGTGAAAAGGAGGCCAAGATATTTATATTCAAAAACTCTTTCTAGGCATAAACCGTCAAATGAATAATTAAACACAGAAGGTGATGAACGCCTAGAAAAGGTCATAAAAACCGTTTTACTAAAATTCAGGTTCATTTGCCAGGTTTTACACCACGTACAAAAATTCACGAAAGAATTGTTAAGAGTTATATGGTCATCTGAGGAGTTTATCACATGATATAGTACGCAGTCGTCAGCGTACAGTCGGACCTTAGTGGAAATACAGCGTGGCAAATCATTGATATATAACAAGAAAAGTAGCGGTCCAAGAACTGACCCTTGTGGAACACCTGATGATACGTCAACTGTACTAGACTTGGATGAGTTAAAGTAGACAAACTGAGACCGTTGGGAAAGAAAACTGGATATCCAGTTCACAAGGTGATGATTATTTAGAATTAGGTTAAGCTTGTGTAGGAGTTTAGAATGAGGAACGGTGTCGAAAGCCTTTGACAAATCTATAAATATCGCATCAACTTGGTTACCGATGTCAAGAGACAGACCGATATCATGAACAAACTCTGTTAGTTGTGTCATAGTACTATAACCGCGTCGAAAACCATGTTGGAAATCGCATAAAATATTGTTAGTATCGAGAAACTCTATTAAATGCCTGTAGACTATATGTTCCAATAATTTGCATGAATGTGACGTTATAGAAATTGGTCTATAGTTTGACAGTGATTGTGAGTTGCCAGATTTGTATACGGGAATAATTTTTGCGAGTTTCCATGATGAAGGAACTGTGGCCGTTGACAGTGATTTCTGAAAAATAACCGTGAGATACCGACTGCACCATTGGGAGTACCTGACAATAAATGAATTAGGAATGTCATCAGGACCAGGACTTTTTTTAGTGTCTAACTTCAAAATCAGGTTTAGTACGCCCCGAACGTTCACATCTATGTCGTCAACCGCAGACTGCGAAACATAAGTAAAAGGAGGAACTTCGAAATTATCAACTGTAAATACTGACTGAAAGTACGTATTAAACGCTGTAGCGATTGTCAGCGCGTCCATAGTAGTTACGTCGTTAATTATAAACGAGTTTGAAATTGTGCTGCCTGGTAAAATAGATTTCCAGAATTTTCGAGGGTTGCATTTTATTAAGTTTTGTAAGGTAACACGGAAATAGAAGTCCTTCGCGGAATTAGTTTTTAGTCGGAGTTCCTCCTTAGCTTGAATAAACTGAGCAGACTTTACTGGGTCAGCGCAACGTTTTCCACACCGCAGTCTGCCGACCCGTCGCGATAAATGTAATAATTCTCTTGTTATCCAAGGTTTGACAATGTTACTTTTTTTAGTTTTGAGTGGCACAAATCGCTGGATACACGATTTAACCAAGTCTTCAAAAAATGTAATGAGTACATTCACGTCACTGGAGATACTAAGTTGTTCAAACACTTCAAAGGAATAGCTTAATGAGTCAATTATGGACACATCATCGGCACGGTTAAAATCAGGAAAAGTGTGGTAAACAAAACGTGTTTTAGGGACAGGATAAGCAACAGAAACAAAGACTGCCCTGTGATCTGATATACCGTCAACGACTTCACATTCAAAATGGTTTTCTAGAAGAGGTATACTAAGAAATACCAAATCTAAAACTGACGACTCTCTTGTGCTCTCCTGAACAATCTGTTTTAAACCAAATGACAAAGAAAAGTTCACTAACTCTCTAGATATTTGAACGTCAGGACCAGATAGCGACAAAGACGACCACTGGATTCCAGGTAAATTGAAATCACCCATTAATATTAAATTGGAAGAAGACAGGTTATGCTCGTACATAAAGTCACATAAAGCATGTAACTGATCAATGGGAGAGCCGGGAGGGCGGTAGACAACGCCAACAACTAAAGATATATTATCCACATTAAGTTTGCACCACACAGATTCAATCTGGGGAGGACCCTGTATAACTGAAAATTTAATATTGGACTTTAAAAAGAGTGCGACGCCACCGCCACGCCCGTACTTTCTATCACCTCTAACCACGCAGAAACCAGAGGGTGTAATTTCGGTGTCGTATATGCCATCATGTAACCATGTTTCAGTGACTCCAATAATGTGAGCAGAGTGGGAAGAAATTAGTGACAGAAAATCGGGGAACTTGTTTACTAAACTTCTGGCGTTAACATTCAAGACACAAAGATTTTCACTTAAACGGTCTTTTAAACCGCAGCCAAGTCAACGACCACCAGTAGATGGGGCGGTGGTAGTAGACTGGGCGGAGTAGTCGGAACACTTAACCAGAGTATTAGTTTTAACACCCCAATTATATCGCTCATTATTGATGAACACATGATCATATCGAAGGCGAACGGAGGAGCCACTGTCACGGAAAGAGGCCGTCGCATCCCATATTTTCTTTCGAACAGAACGGACATGAACAGAGAAGTCTTCCGATATACGAATATCTGAACCCTTAAGCTTGAAAGAATTTTTCAATACTTCCATTTTTTCGCGAAAATTAAGGAGTTTCATAATGACAGGACGTGAACGACCGTCGTGTTTTCGACCTATTCTATGGCACCTTTCAATACGTGGGCAGTCAATAATCAGTTTATCCGAGAATATTTTTGATACGTTAGAGAGTAATGACTCACTAGTTTCGTCTGCGCTTTCGGTGAGGCCATATAAGATTAGATTATTTCTGCGCGAGCGGTTTTCCATGTCGTCATTCCTCGCGACGAGTCTGTCTACCACACCAGACAATGACTTAAGCTCTATAAGCAGATTGTCACAAGATGTACAAGGGACACTTGGCGTGGCAGAAGGCGACTCGAGGGCAGCCACTCGTGCTTCAAGAGCGTCAAATCGGGAGTTAACTGACTGTTGGAATAATTTGATTTCAGCTATGTCCTGAGCCATCTTTTTCTGGCCAGCCAGCAATTCAGCAAACATATCCGAAACTGTGGGTTGTCTCTCGATATCTCTTCCGTCATTATCGCTCTCACCCGAATTAGCAGCCCTCGAGTCCTCTGTAACCGAAACTACGTTATCTTGTTTTGTTTTTTTGCTGTCTTTTTTTGGTGGTCCTGGATTCGTTTCAACGTCTCCACTAAGGAGAAGGCTATTGATGCAATACACCAGCTGAGAGCACAGGTCAACAAAACAACAAATACCGTGATCGTATCCATGTGGGCGAGGAAATAGCAGTAAAAAGCGATTATCGGACCGTACACAATGAGCGTTCTGAAGGTAACATACCTGCGAAAGAAGCAGACAGCGGTTGAGCATACTGTCCTCGCTGCTATCGCCTCGCCCACTGAAGAGGAAAGATGCCGGTGAAGCTTTTCTATCCTCGTTAACCGACGTCACAGAACTGGGCCTTTCAATGATTGGACGATCCAGGAGGGCATCACCGACGGGGGTGACTTGCAGATTCACGGTTTGTAGGCCGTTAAGGAAACCGTGAACATCCTCAATTCCGCTGGCAAGGAAGTCCGTGGACGAACAAGACGGGTCGACCACGCAGCATGGAACAGTTGACGAAGCAGGAAGCGCCGGCAGTAGCTGGTATCCGTGCGCCGCGGTAGCATTGTACACAGGAACAGCGAGGGACACGAAGAACTGCGAAAGAAGCAGACAGCGGTTGAGCATACTGTCCTCGCTGCTATCGCCTCGCCCACTGAAGAGGAAAGATGCCGGTGAAGCTTTTCTATCCTCGTTAACCGACGTCACAGAACTGGGCCTTTCAATGATTGGACGATCCAGGAGGGCATCACCGACGGGGGTGACTTGCAGATTCACGGTTTGTAGGCCGTTAAGGAAACCGTGAACATCCTCAATTCCGCTGGCAAGGAAGTCCGTGGACGAACAAGACGGGTCGACCACGCAGCATGGAACAGTTGACGAAGCAGGAAGCGCCGGCAGTAGCTGGTATCCGTGCGCCGCGGTAGCATTGTACACAGGAACAGCGAGGGACACGAAGAACTGCGAAAGAAGCAGACAGCGGTTGAGCATACTGTCCTCGCTGCTATCGCCTCGCCCACTGAGCATACTGTCCTCGCTGCTATCGCCTCGCCGCCTGTGTATATAAAGACCTTCAAGTACGGGAGCTAAAAGTACTGAAATTTTTTTTTTATCATCACGTCCCCACGAATAGGTTATGTTGTGGCATTTCCTTACCTTGTTTGCATCAGGGAAATCCACGTTGTAGTTATTAAAAAAGAAAGCATGGCTTTGACATAAGAACGCTATTCCCAAGAACAAAAGGGAAAACATCGTCTGTCGAGGCTTACGCACGCGTATACGTGGAGAAACGGTATATGTGTAGGCATAGTGTTGCGTTTATATAGCAATACACTGAAAGTCCCCAAGATAAAAACATCTGCGTTTTCTTTTTTTTAAAGAATAGCCTGTCAACCAGCAGCTAACCGCAATAAATATTGTCCAAGTAAAAAAAAAAAAAAAAAAAGCTCTTTGCATACGTTCTTTTTTGTCCATCTGCCTTTCTGTCTTGAAGGGCGCATAAAGGCCCTTCCTTTGTATATACCAAAGAAATAAAGTTAACAATTGAGCCTGTTAAACAATAAGGTTAAAATACCTTTACGAAAAGAAAATGCGTTGTACTTCACGTTTTTATTTAGATATGCATACGCGAAGTTTGCGACCTCCAGGCGGAAGTTTAATATCGTCATTGCTCAAAGATCGGGATTTTTTTTTTCTCTTTAGAAAACCCGGCACGAGAATTTCAGAATAACCTAAACAGCGATCCATGAGATAATCCAGTGGTTCAGAACGAAGCTCGCGCTTACCCAGAACGCACTAGAAACAAAAAGGTAGCGGTCCTGTGTTATTCCACATACAATCACAGCGATATCTGTGACAAGCCACGGCGCAGTCGTTCGTCACCGGCGTCGCGTTCAAGCAGCGTGTGTCGCATGAAAAAAAAAAGCGTTCGGTATGAAATAGCATAGCCTCCTCTGTACTGAAAAAGCCTGGCAGATCTCTACGAGACGCGGCCGCCGAGAATGAAAAGGTAGAGAGGCAGGAAACGGATGTGAGGAGAGCCACGTGATGGGCACCCCGCCTGTGCGAGATTCCGAAACACACTTGTAAATATATCAGCTTGAACTCTAGAACTAACTAGAACACAAAGACAGAAAGTACAGGATATGACACACAGCTGACTACCAACGATGTTTTAGTGTAAACTACTTCCTTGCGCTTTTGCTCCTTCCTTTTGAGTCCCAAGTGAAGCGCGATAAACCTATTATATGAATTGCCCTTTCCCACTATTAAAGATCACTTCCTATATTTACACTAATACAAAAATATATACAAATCATTTGCACAGTATTCCTAGCAAAATATTGTTTTTGAACTAACCCGCCACATGCTCGTGCTGCTGTGGTTTGGGGCGTGACATTCCGTAGGATGAATGATAGTGGCTGCAGCAGCGGTACCTTGGCTAGAGGTAATATAACTCTACCGAAAAGATGGCCGCCAGTGGTCGCATTCGCAGAGCGGGCAAACGCGATCCAGCAATCGTCATAGAGATCAGTGGAGCAGAGTGACTGCGACTTTATACTTGTTTACGCAACACAGACCTGAGTGATACTCGAAGCGATGTGCCCCGGCTTTCCGTATTTGCTGCTAAAAGTGAACGCATTGAAAGCTTATAGAGAGCCCAATCAGTTTCCGTCGTAGCCCGAAAAGATTGTGTTAATTGCTCGTCTGGATCCATTGAGCGAATAATGGTCACATCGGGTTTCTCGCTACCCCGCCCAAAACTTAAGTTATCGGCTGTCGGAGATGCGAATAAAGATAACCGGTGAAATAATAAGAGAAGTCTGGAGCGTCTTAGATTAAACCCGAACCGAAAAAAAAATATGAATTTATTTTGTCTTATTTCCCCGTTTCGAATGTTCAGTGAACTTCGCAGAGGTTTTATATACTATGCAAATGACTTGAGAATTAGGCAGTCTCTCTAATGATTGTTAAACAAATAACACCCAATGAAACACCCTCATTCCCGTTTTTCTTCGTCAAGAATAGAAGGACCCACATGAAAAAACATAAAAAAGTATATCAGAAAGGTAATTGTAATCTAGAATTGCCGTGATACCGTTCTTTTTTATATAATTTATTTACATTTGATTAACAAACAAGCTCGAATTCTTAAAATAAAAAAAAAAAATATCTATAGTTTGAGAAAGGTTCCGAACCATATAGATGCTCCGGACGAGCTTCAGGTTTCTCCCTAAAGCCAAATCACACTGCACATATATAATACAAAATTACAGTTTGCGAAAACGAATCACCGCAATACCCTTGGTTCGAATGCCTCGGCATTTGAAGCACGTATTTCTAGTGGACTAGAGTTCGAATCTGTTTGCATACTGTCTTTTGTGAAATATATAACCAGTGTGACCCTTGCTTCGGAACACATTACGTCGCACCAAGCAGCGACAGCCAAGCGGAGGGCAACGATCTCGTGCTGGAAGTGAAGTATCGTATCTTTTCTTAGCCTGTCACCGAACAGAGTTGGATTATTTGAATCATCTCGGAAACTACACGTGTACTTCCATAAATAAACACATATACAAGCAAGAGCACTTTTCGTTGTTGTTAAGACCATAAGTAAAATACCAGATATCAAATATAAAAAAAAACGTTTTCACATTCTTTCAAACCATATTGTTTTCTTCATGGAATATTCACGCCAAAGAGCGCATTGTTTACCGCATAGGTGCCGCTGAGATGTGGCGGCATACGGGGACTGCTCTGGAATTTTTTTTTTCTTGTTTGCATTGTATTTCGGTTTTAAGTGTATAGGTTGCCACTGCGCAGCAAAAGAACAAACGAAAGCAATACGAATAAAAAGAACAAATATTCAATGTCGTTCAGGTCATGCCGTTTGTTCGGTCGTGATATTTTCTGTGACCATTTCGAAATAAAATCATGGTCTACACTTCTGAAAATCCATGGAAAATACACGAAGACTTGAATTTCTAGGGCTTATCAGGCAAAGATGAAGAGACATGGACAAAGTCAGAGAAGCTGGTTTTTGATACCTGTTCTGAGCATCTTGCGCTATCAGTGGAGCCAGGCAGCGTTGAAAGCGCCCAGAGGATCCTTTGGTTCACGTGGACATGAAACGCCCAGTTATAGAAAAATTCTTCTCAGCAAAGAGAAAGGATCTGATTCTGGGGAAATCTTTTAAGTTCAAGGGCATCTCGCTCGCGATAAGTGAAGACTCTTCTCCTGGCACACGAGAACTACGTCAAGAGCTCATTAAATTTTCAAAACTGCAAAATAATCAGTTTAAATTAAAATTTAACTAGCTTGTCTTCGGAAAAGAGATCTTTGTTTATAGTACGAAGAGCGAAAGTGTTAGAGAAGTTGAGCAGGCATAGGATTGGTGTACTCAAGACACTCGTCAATGTCCCCAGACTCGGATAAATTGTGCATTATATTCTGTTCTTTATACTAATATAAGAAGTATATTGCCTTTGGAGTCTCGGAGTCTGTGTCATGTTCTATTTAAACCAGCTCGTTTGCGCCCTTACATTCATTTCATTGCCCAATCATGCCCGTTCCGATAGTTTTTTTTTAGAACACATACTTTAATGCTGTAGTTATTGCGTCACGCCCGTGTCCCTCAGTGATTACTGTTTAGTGGGTTTTACCCCTGGAAGAGCCAAGGGAAAAGGTGAAAGTTGTTTCGAAGATACGGAAGCTGTCAAAAATCGTTAACAAACTTTAGGGGAAGGAACTGAGTGTAATTGCTTTTTAAAGAATGATTTGTTTAAAGAGGAGAGAAAAGCGATTAAAAGAGAAAGCACGATTCATATTTCTGAAAGACCGCGCGAGGAATATTTGTGAGACAACCTTATGGTTAATATACGCACCAAAAATCGTACGCCCGGGCGCAAGTGGATGTTTTAGATGAGGGCCGCTATCAAGGTGCTCTAACACGGGCGGGAGCTCGAAATAGGTTACTGGACGAGGACCCGACAAGGAGAGCACTCTGCACGGAAAGAAAGGTACCCTACATGTAACGAAATAGTGGAAATCCAATGTGGCGGTATCATTGGAAGTCGCAGCGCAAAAATGAAATGCGCTTCCTGCAATTATTGGAAGGCGCTGCTTTCTTATCAACCTGCGATCGTAATAGTTTTAAAGATAATTTGAGAAGGTTTATCAGAGCGTTTAAATGATGACGCAGTAACAAATTCAGATGCAGCAATTGTTGTGGTACAAGTCGAGGAGACGTTAGATGACTTTGAACTTTGCGAAATCACCTGGACTACATGCATATAAATGTAGGCT